AGAAATAGTGCCAAAGACATACAAAAGGGGTGTCATTTTACTCAGCAGATGTAACTGAACACAAAATAAAACTTTGTACAGGAATAGCACGCACCAACATTACAAAATACACATGAGAATTTAGTTGTTATAAGTTTGTGTGCCAAAAACCAAAAAAAAAAAACAATTTTACTCCAATATTTAGCAGAGGTTGGCGGTGAAATGGCTACGTAGAAAGTGTCAAAACAACCCTAGGTAAATAGCCAGTGATGTCTACTTTATATAAATATATACTTTTGTGTGGCAATTTTGTTTTCTTTTATGGCTATTAAGCTTACAAGACAAACATACCAAATTCTAAAATCGCTCCACATTAAAAGTTTATTTTACTCCTTGTGCTTTGTGACCTGTAACTACCAAAAAAAACTTAAAATCCCAGACACATTATATATTCTGTAAATCAGAACAACTAAATGAATTTATTTTTAATTACTTTCCTTAACCTGCACTAATTATGCACACAGTATTATTGCAAAAACTGTAAAAGAAAATTGAATTTTTTTTGCATTTTTCGAAAATTGTTTATAATAAATAAATATATATATATATATATATATATATATATAAATAAGTGTGTATGTGTGTGTATATATATATATATATATATATATATAATGTCTTACATCAAATTAAAGCCCTTTCTGTCCTTTAAAAAAACGATATATAATATGTTATTAGTTAGTAAAATGCAAATTGCAGTTGAACGCAAACAGCAAAAAATGCAAAAAATGCTGTTGTCATTAAGTGAAAGACAAGCTTCTGAAGCTCTGTCCTTAAGGGGTTAATAGATCTCAATGTTATTTATTTTCAGTGTCATGGTAAATTTCAACCAAAACAATATTTACTAACTGCTGTATTTTTGCCACGATGCCATAAAGAAGAACATAACCAGTGCACGGGAACAATTGAAACTACAGTGCCATGCCACCTGTACTAGATAGTGTTGTAGTTTTCTGGGTGTAAATGGTGGTGCCAGTTGACAGGTTCCACTAAATATACAATGGGAATGCATGCCATAGTGAAATTAACTGTTCCAGAGCAAGAGACAGCACAATAAACTGCTCTCTATTGCATTGTTAAAAGAAAAGAAAATCTGTAAAATAAAAAAAATAAAAATGCAAATATTGTCTGGAGTCATTAGCATTTGAACCCACAATTTAGCAAGAGAATGCACTTGAAGAGAACTCATCATCTCTCTCACATACTGTTCAATACAAAAACATCAAATACAAGTAGCCCCAGCCCTTCACTCACCCACTGGGTTGTGGGGCAGTGGGTGATACATGTATATTGAAATTGTCTAGGGTTGTCTCAATCTCTCTGGTGCTAAAGTGTGCCTGTGCCAGTTCCTCTAGACTTAACGGAACACATGAAAAACCCACACCAAGTCTTCATTAAATACTATTCTACCAATCTACTTCCCTAATACTTCCCTTACCTATTGTGTCACTACCCCACTCCCTCTAACATGTAAGCTCATTGAGCAGGGCCCTCAACCCCTGTTTCTGTGCGTCAAACTTGTCTGGTAACAATTACATGTTTTTTAGTCCACCCATTGCAAAGTGCTACGGAATTGGTTGGCGCTATATAAATATAATAAAAATAATAATAATAATAATAATAATTTCTGACACTGTAGTGCTGGTATGGCTGTTAAGGTGACTGGTCCCACTCCAATTAGTATGAAAAAGCTTTAAACTTACCTTTTCTCCCATGCCACGCCAGTCTCACTGTGACTGTTTGTGAATCTGTGTCAGTGTTTGTCTGTGTGTATCTGTGTTTGTCTGTGTGTGTGTGTAATTTGTGTCAGTGTGTCTGTGTATATAAGTGTCTGTATAGCTGTGTGTGCCAATGTGGGTATATGTGTGTGTATCTGTGTGTGTGTAACTATGTGTCATTGTATGTTGTCATTGTATGTGTCCGTGCATGTATTGGTGCATTAGTGTGTATCTATATGTCACTGTGTGTGACTATGTGTGTATTTGTGTGTCTGTGTATTTGCATTTGTACTGTGTATGTGTCTGTGTATTGTTGGGTTTGTGTACGTGTATCAGTGCTTGTGGAAGTGTATACATTACACACACATGCACGCCCGCATTCAAACACCAACATTCACACACATACTCCATACAAAAACATACTTATAATCAAACACACAATGTACACATAATGCATCCAATACACAAACACACACCCTGTATCCACTCTACACACACTGCATCTCTGTGGGCAGACTTGGAGGCGGATCCCGAGGGCAGGCTTGGAAGTGGGCCCCCGGTGGGCCCAGACTCTGAGCTGTGTAAGAGGCCCCAACATTCCAGATGACAGTCATGAATCTATGTGCAGGATTGTACACATCTTTCATACTGGCACAGCTTTTGTGCCAGCTACCAGTTATCAATCAACAAGGCAAACAAAATAGTGTGGATCCGCTTATGTTTGTCTGGGTGTAATGGAAATTACACTACTGAGTGACTGCTGCCTCCACTTCTATTCAGCTTGTTCTTCTGAGAGTAATTCCTATTAATCTCAGGCAGCCAAAACACTAAATATCTCCTGTCATAACTGTCATAATGAAAAATAATGTTCCCTCAAGGGTCAGAGACATTTAGAAACCACAATTATTATTTTTCAGTAAAATACATTTCACATATGTATTCACATTCACACATTTAGTGTTATTTAAGCTTAGCTTCTACTGCCAGTTGCAAAATTTGTAGAAACCCTTCCCAGTGTATTTCATCCTTGAAACATTCTTTCAAATGGTGGGCCGTATTTATTGAGACAGAACAGGTCCTATAATGGCAAAAAGAGCTCAAGATTGAAAGATGGTCTTCAGGTATCCATGGCAATTAACACTTTGTCAAAGTATGTAACCTGTTTTTGCCATAATAACTGAGACTTTTAGTGACATGTTTACCACAACATTTAAACTCTATTCATTTAATAGAAAAGTGTAGGGAATTGACAAAGGATTTGATAATTTTACATCAACACAGCAGAATTGGAAAACAGCAGTTTTTGTAAAATTGTTTTCAAGCCATTTGATAGAAGATTTAGGTTTTGCTTTAACCAAAGCTCAACACACAAATTTGAACATTTCCATTTCTAGGAAATGGCAATGATTTACATTTTCAAAAAAAAAGGGGACAGCCAGTATGCACCAAAATCACTACATTATGATTTAATGGTTTTAGTGTTTAGAGTGTCCCTTCAGCTTTTTTGTATGTCAAGTTGGAGACACTGAAAGCGCTTTATATTCTGAAATGGTTAATGGAGGAAGGCTATGTTAAAGGACCACTATAGGCACCCAGACCACTTCAGCTCAATGAAGTGGTCTGGGTGCCAGGTCCCTCTAGTTTTAACCCTGCAGTCCCTCTAGTTTTAACCACTGCTATGTTTCACTGAGGGTTAATCCAGTCTCTAGTGGCTGTCTCACTGACAGCCGCTAGAGGCGCTTCTGCGATTCTCACTGTGAAAATCACAGTGAGAAGACACTGGACGTCCATAGGAAAGCATTGAGTAATGCTTTCCTATGGACGGTTTGAATGCGCACTTGTCTTTTGCCGCACATGTGCATTTGGATCTAAAGTCGGCAGGGCGAGGAGAGTTCCCCAGCGCCGAGGGAGCCCCTTCAGCCCAGCAGGAGGGGGGCCCTGAGGGTGGGGGGACCTACTGACCCTATAGTGCCAGGAAAACGAGTTTGTTTTCCTGGCACTTTAGTGGTCCTTTAAGAATTTTGTATTAAAAAAGTAAATTATTAAATGGCCTTAATGTGTAAATAACATCCAGAAACTACAATAATTGCAGTGTGTTTGTTACTGGAAAGCAGTGAACTGTAGGTGTTAGTTTAATGCTGTGTCAGTTACTTAATTTTATGAATACACTATTGCATACATTGTTAGTGTTTGGACTCTATGTGGGGCTTTATATTTAAATAATTTGACATTTTCTGAAGTGGTAAATGTACTGTAAACAGAGCATGCTTTCTGTGTAACATAATTTGCATTCACATTTCACATACAAAGAACAAAATACTTACAAATAGATGTAACTTGAGGAACAATTAGCATTATCAGAAAAAAAAATTCCAGGGTTGGTTTAATATAATGAGTGGGAGAATTTATATCAAATCCCATTGTTAGCTTATTATGACCTTCAGCAAACCCCTTATGCTGAGAAATAGATGTGCTTTGACAAATTAATGTAATAGCAGAAAATGTTTGCATTGCATAAATGAAATAACTCAGTGTTCTTTAAAAAATATGTTAGGATGATGATTAGTTTGCAAAAAAGTACCTTTAATATTTTATACACAAAATATAGTAGAAAGTTTAAACCACTGATATGTGTATAACATCTTTATTACTGATATTTTCTGAGATTTGTCTCATTGTAGTTGCAGATCCCCTCACAGAGTGATATGATGCTAGGAGGCGAGATAATATTGAGAGTTGCTTTAACCCCTTCAGGACGGAGTCAACAGTACACTTTCTGATCAAAACAAAATGTAAACAAAAACTGGAATTTGCGCCATAGGTCTATTCAACCGTGATTCACCTCTTTCATATTAAGTGCACCCACACTTATTATATATCATCTTGTGCAAGAGAAACAGGGCTTTAATTTCTCATGAACTATTCATATATGAAACATAATTTATTATAAAAAAAAATGTTTTTTGAGAAATTAAGATTTTAAGAAACAATTTGTAGTTCCGCCTGATATTGTTAGTTTTTACTGCAATAAAAATGCACATATTTGTATTCAGCAAAGTCTCACAAGTTTTTGTGTGAAAAAAGCAAAAAACAAATATTTGGCCAGTGTTTGTGACTAAGTGGCTACTAAAAATGATGGGACATACCCCATTTGCAACACCTTGGGTTATCTACTTATGCAAATGGTATGCATGGGAGTAATTCTCATTCCTGGGCTACCATACGGTCTCAAAGGCAACATTACTGTAACGGATCGACTGGCACCCCGACTGGGTACCTCCGTTAAAGGATGCTCCTAGCGCTTCCTGAGGACTCCAAGCACTGCAGCAGACACCACAACCACCGAACCGGAGAAGCATATGAATCCTCTCAAGCATATGAATGCCGTAGACAGTTGAATAGGAACCATACGAATAGGTTTACTCTCCTAGCAGTCAAACTGGAACAGCATACAATAAATCCTTCCCCCAATAATGAGACGACACTTCACTTTGAGGGTTAAACAGGAACTCCCTGTACTGTCACATACAGTCTCTTTTATTCCCAATCCACAAACATAGTACAGCCTACAGGGCGTTACAAAACAACCAATCACATATCAGTTACATCCCACATATTCCCTCCCCTTATCCTGAGAGGAAACTCAATTACACATACAGTTAAAACATACTTCTACCCAACTTTCATAACTCTAAAACCATACATCACATTCACATAAAATTACATATGCACAATCAATCCATTCAGGGGAACAACATATTCAAAATGGCACAAATCAGACAAGGGGTTCAAAAGTTAGTAAAAAGTCCTTTGTGACTAAATGAAGCATGGCTTTCTGGCCCAAACCAGTTTCAGAGTCTTCTATCCTGGAGATAAGTAATTCAATTATCTCCCAGGACAGACACAGACTCCATTAAGCACATGGTTGCAAAAAGACACAAAACACTTTAAAATACATAAAGTCACCTTTACACATAACACACAGACATTTCACATATCCCCAGATAGCTCAGGTCTGAGCGCACATTATTAAGTGAATGGCGCTCAGACCACACGAATACAGTTTAATCGCCATGGAGCCAAAGTCTTTACAGTCAGTTTCATACAAATGGGCTCCATGGGATTCCTATCTGGGGTATAACACATTCAAACACATCTACCGAACCCCAGGCAGAAAAGCACGAATACAGCTTTTCTGCAGGCAAAAATAAAGTCTTTTAAAAGGGGGCCATAGTCAGATGGCAGGAGGCTGGCAACCAGGCTTCTCCAGTGCACAGTGGCGAGGTTGGTTTCGCCACAATTACCAAACTGGCAAATTTCAATGTGAAAAAATCAAGCCTTATAATTGACTCTCTAACTTTCCAAAACACCATAAATCCTATACATGGGGGGTACTGTTATATTTGGGAGACTTCACTGAACACAAACATAAGTGTTTCAAAACAATAAAACATATTACAACAATAATTTCGTCAGTAAAAGTGAAGTTTGTGTGTGAAAAATGCAAAAACTTCACTTTTACTGAAAATAACATTGTTGTAATACAATTTATCATTTGAATCACTAATATTTGTGTTCAGTGAAGTCTACCGAGTAAAACAGTACCCCCATGTACAGGTTTTATGGTGTCTTGGAAAGTTACAAGGTTAAATATAGTGCTTGCAAATTAAATTCTCTGCTCTTTCTACATGGGTTGTCAGGCACGTCAATTAACCCCTTAAGGACCAAACTTCTGGAATAAAAGGGAATCATAACATGTCACACATGTCATGTGTCCTTAAGGGGTTAAATTTTAATTAATTAAATAACATAATTATGTTAAATGATTAAGAGGATCGCGGAGGAGGTAAGTACCATGGACCTCCTGGGGGCTTAAGCCATTATGGCGTTCTATGCCGCTGCAACGGCTATAAAGCCCATTATAATGGGGACGGCATAAAATGCCGTAACGGTGTTAAGAGGTTAAAGTAGGTATTTTCACTCTTGTAAATAAATCCCTAAACAAAACATACTTTTACCTGTATCTTCTTTCTCCTATCAGTATCCTGTTCTTTCTACTCATTCTCCACCCCAAACACTTATGTCTCGAACAGACCCAAGTGCAATGTCTCTGTTCATTTGAAATTTCATTCATGACTTGGGCTAGAGAGAGACCCAAGCAGAGGTGTAACTAGAATCCACTGGGCCCCACGAAAATTACCCTGGGGCCCCACTCCCATGTGTCTCATCCCACCCCCTTGGTGTCTCATTCCTGCACCCAGGCTCCCCCCCATGTGCCTCATTCCCTCTGCCCCACAGCCCCCCATGTGTCCCATTCCCTCTCCTCCCTCAGTCCCATCCATGTGTCCCATAGGCCTCTTCCAGCCCCTTCAAATGTCCCTTTTTGTCTCCCCTTAGCCCTTCCATGTTTCTCATACCCTCCTCCCTACCAACCCCTTCATGTGTCCCGTTCAGGGGTGGGGGCGGGGGGTAGGCAATAGGTCCCCCCTTCAGGTTAGAAGCCCCCACTCATGCGGAACAGGTGGAGGCTCGGGAGGGGGCCCACTGTTTACTAGACATTCCCCTACTCGCGGTATAGTGAGTAGGGGCATAATTTACTAATACTAAGTAATCTTTACTTAATATTAGTAAATTTGTCTGAAAGACCAATTTAGGTCTTTCAGCCTTTTAGTAGATAGCTTCTGTAACGGACCGTTTTGCACATAAGGGGTAAAAACCGTTTAGGCGATCGTCCCCCTTTCCAGAGATGCAGGCAAAGCTACTGCAGAACATCAATTCGCCGAACAGGAAACCATATGAATGCTGTAAACAGCTGAATAGGAAAAACCATACGAATAGGTTTACACTCCTAGCAGTCAAACTGGAACAGCATACCATAAATCCCCCCAAGAACAAGACAAAGCTCCGTGTTGAGGGTCAAGCAGTGAACAGACAGAGCTGTGGGTTTATTGTGCTTATGTACACATTCTTACACATTAGTACCACCCACAGGGTTTTGGAACACAACCAATAAACACATACAATACACTCAGACACTCCCACACAAATTCCTCCCCTCTGCTTGTGATTCAATTACCTTACACAATGGGTAATGTAATTTAGCACAAGCAGAGAAATACAATGTTTCCACATTATTCATAACTTGAAAAGTATGCATCACATTCACATAAAACTTACATTTTCAGAATCAGCATACTCCAAATACAAACATACGTCAAAATCATATAATTGGTCCAGTGGTTCAAAAGATAGATTGTAGTCCTTTGTGACCACAGGAAGCATGGCTTTTCTGCCCAAAACCAGTTCCACAGAGTCTTCTATCCTGGAGATAATTAGAAGTAGTCCAATTATCTCCAAAGACAGAGGCAAAACTCCATTGAACACATGGCAGCAAAAAGACAGTAAAATACAATAAAATACACAAGGTTACATTTATGACATAAAATACAGACATGCAACATATGCCCAGATAGCTTAGGTCTAAGCGCACATTATTACTGAATGGCGCTCAGAGCACACACATACAGTTCAATTGCCATGGAGCCAAAGTCTTTCCCATAGTCTTTCATTATACGAATGGGCTCCATGGCATAGCTATCTGGGGTATCACTGCTCAAACAGGGCAAGCACCAAATGACCCGGCTTTCTTGTCTTTGCAGGGGAAAATCAAGCCTTTTAACATGGGGCCATAATACCAAGGCAACAGGCGAGCAACCCGGCTTCTCCAATGCAATGTGGCGAGATTGGTCTCGTCACAGCTTCCTAATACCGTGGGAATTAGGGAGTTATCTACTTATTCATTCCTGTCATTCCATTGACTGGCTAAGTAACTTACATTTTATATGAATGTGTGTTACTTGATTGTTGTAAGTGTTGCAAATGCTTACAACTGAATCCTGGCTATGTTTGTATACTGTTTATTTAAACTTGTATACAGTATAACATTCTTCATTCTTCCACTGGGTATATTAGTACGTCAGCAATACTGTGCTTCAGAACTTCGGCACTTTCGCACTTCAACACTTCGGAACTTCGGCACTTTGGCACTTCAGCACTTCAGAACTTTGGCACTTCAAAACTTTGACACTTCGGAAATTCTGCAATTTTGGAGCTTCGGGACTTCGGAAATTCGGCACTTTGGCAATTTGTCAATTCAGCTATTTGGACATTCGGAAGTATCCGAATGTCCGAATTGCCCGAAATACATTCGAATTGACATTCAGAATGAAACGAATTGCATGTGTCTAATGCCCATACTGGAGGCGCTGGAAACAGCTAAGCAAAGATTGAGTGCACTGGAACCAGACTGAGCAGATACACCAGAGAAGCAGAGGCTAAGAGAATCATTGACCTCTTTACCAAAAAACTATCCAAGGTGAATGCACAGTTACAGGGTAACCATTACATATCCTTGCAAGACACACCCAGAGTTACGACTGAACAGTACTGGAAGAATATCTGGGAGCAAGAAGCATCTCATAAAACCAAGGCCCACTGGCTACTAGACCTGAAAGCAGACCACTGCATGCTGCCAGAACAGGAAAAAGTAATCGTAACAGTCGATGATGTCCAACACATGAAGAGCTGGTCAGCCTCAGGACCTGACATGATCCACAACTGCTGGATAAAGAAATTAACAGCGCTGCATGAACACCTAGCAGCACAAATGAACCAGCTACTAGCAACAGGCTCCCACCCTGACTGGTTAACACAAGGCAGAACAATACTGGTCATGAAGGACCCTCAAGGGAACAGCACCATCTAACTACTGACCAATAACCTGCCTCCTCACAACATGGAAACTCCTGTCAGGCATCATAGCCTTCAAGATCCAAGGTCATATGAGTCAATATATGAGCAATACACAGAAGGTGATTGGAAACAACACCAGAGGATCAAGACACCAACTACTGGTAGACCAAGCAGTCACAAGGCATTCTAAGATCAGACAGACTAATTTGTGTACCGCTTGGATTGACTACAAGAAAGCCTATGATACAATGCCACACACATGGATACTGGAATGCTTGGCTCTCTACAAGGTCAGCAAGATAATAAGAGCCTTCATCAAGTACTTGATGGGCAAGTGGAAAACAACTCTAAAAGCTAACTGCAGGACAATAACTCAAGTGAACATTAATTGTGGCATATACCAAGGTGATCCGCTATCCACAATTCTGCATAGGCCTCAACCCTCATAGCCATATCATGAAGAAGAGTGGATACAGATACAGGTTCAGGAGTGGAGCTACCATCTGCCACCTACTCTACATGGATGACATCAAGCTGTATGCCAAGAATGTGTGAGACATTGACTCACTGATCCACCTAACTAGGATATACAGCAAGGATATGTCATTCGGACTAGAGAAGTGTGGGCGGATGATAGCAAAAAGAGGGAAGATGATAAGGACAGAAGGAGTTGAAGTTCCAGAAGGCCAAATAGAAGATGTAGAGAAATAGATACAAGTACCTGGGGGTACCACAAATGCATGGCAACCATAAGGTAGAGGAGGATAGCAACATCCAAGTATCTCCAAAGAGTCAGACAGGTCCTGAAGTCCCAGCTCAATGTCAAGGACAAGATCCAAGCCATCAACACATATGCCCTACCGGTCATCAGGTACCCAGCTGGAATAATAATCTGGTCAAGAGAAGAACTAGTCACCATGGATGTCAAGACCAGGAAACTACTCACTATAAATGGAGGATTCCACCCAAAATCCAGCACCCAGAGACGGTACACATGCCGGAAGGAAGGAGATCAGGGCCTGATGAGTGTCAAGGCCACAGTCCTGGATGAAACACAGCGGTGTCTCTCATCCGCTGTTGGTTCTCCTCAATTGTAGGGGTGAAGAAAAAATACAAAAAGCTGCTCGTCTGAACCTCTCTTCAGAGATCTTCTTGCTTTAGCTGGGAACTAGAGATCAGAGATTAATTGCATAGGGCTTGCGACCATTTAAAGCTCAACTCTAATTTTTTCTGGCGGGTTTTTCTCCATCAATGGACGCTCGATGCACACATGCTTACATCATCCCCCATCTATATATTCTAAAATAATTAAAACATTTTATAATATATTATACATATATAATGTGTATGTGTGTGTGTGTGTGTGTGTGTGTGTGTATATATATATATATATATATATATATATACATTATGAGTGTATTTTGAGATATATGTGTATATATCTCAAAGTACACTTATAATGAAATCATATATATGCATTATATATGTATAATATATGAAAAATGCTTTAATTTTTTTTACGATTTGTTATACATATATAATATATGTACAATATATTTATTTGTTTATTATTTTTTTATTTTCACTTTTAGGTGTCAGGGGGACTGCCTGATAGCTCAGACAGTCCCCCTGCAGGCAGCTCCATAGACTTTTATTGCGGTCATGTGATGGACTGGGGTGGCCGGAGCTGCTGCAGGGAGACTGCTTTTCAATGATCACAACCTTCCAGAAAATCTTTTTAAATTATATATCAATAAAAAAAATAAAATAAAAAAATAGACTTTAATGACGTTTTCTGTAGAATTTTTTTTTTTTTTTTTTTTTTAACAGGTTATGATCATTTGAAAAGCTTATCCAAAATAATTAAATCGAGGCCTTTTTGTTGAAGGAGATGTTTTGTTTTTTTAATTGCCTTATTATAAATGAAGCACAACAGCCTATTTGAACATTGACTGACATAATTTAGTTTTGTTACTACTTAGTCTCACCATTACCTTATGAACACTCACATCTTGTTAACTGAATCAGTTATAATGATTCATTCTTGACCAGTACAATACAACTATTTTCTACTCTGCTTCCGCTTCTCAACCAACTACCTGCAGTTAGAATATACTTCAAAATATCACTTATTTACGATATTCAAAAGTTCAAAATGGGAGAAGTGAATAGAAAACTCACATAATACCAAGACAAAGCTTTAAATATGAACCTTTCTCTAGAGTCTATGCAGTTTTTACAAGCAGTGTGTAGGGTAATCCCCCCGTGGCTTTGTACACCAGTCCTGGGAATTTTCTTATACATTTTTCACCTCCAATAATTGGTTCAACTGTCTGTTTGTACAGTGTTGTGTAAATCCCTTTAATTGGCTATAAGGCTGTATGAAGCAAAAAAATAAATAACAAATATTGCTTTTTTAGTTACTAGTAATGCTACTTGCTCTATCATTTTGTGGACTTTTTATTTTAATTATGGATGTATATGGCTTCATCAGACATTTAGCATATATCTGTGATTGTTATTTAAAAAAACAAAAAAACATATGATACAAAACCCCAAAATATACATTTTCTGCTGCATATTAGATAAAATAGATGAAATGTAATACTGAGAAATGGTAACAACATTAGTAAATTAGATATGGCTTGGTAAGCTGTATTTTCAGAACAATAAACAAATAAAAAATAGTTTGCACGCTTCCATGTGCATAATTGGAACTACCTAGCAGATATATGTTAAGTATAAGAAGTGAGTTTCTGAATTTTATGCAGACTGAAGCAAACGGAATAATAAAACTTGACATGCATCAATGAAGCTAGATACATATCCTCCAAAGTACTTTTCTAGTAGCTTAGTGAAAGCACTCGGCATGTATCTTTTTTTTTCTAAAGCCTATGTACTTCTGGTATCAGCTTGTAAAATGATTGATGACACTAACATTTTACCAGTAGATTTATTCATGAGATGAATTGAATGTGCTTTTTCAAAAGTACACCCAAAGTTAAATTGAAGTATTGTTTAATTTACATATACCAATAAAAAAAAGAATTCTAAAAAAGAAGAAAATCTAAAAGAAATGGAATAGAATTCAAATAGAATAGAAAACAACTCTTTAAAGGTTTGAACTGAATTTTAAAAAGCCACAACAATAGTTTTTAAAGTTACTTGGAATTTAAAATGCATGCTCGTATCAGACATTACATTACCAGACATTACATTGATGTAAAAACCTTGGATAATTACTGCA